TCCCAAGATTACCAAACAACATGGCAGGCCACTGGTTCGAGTCCAGAGATAGTCCCAGGAAACAAGACAGGCTACTGAATGAAGACCCGGCTACGTGCAGGGTCCAAGCATGCCAAAAAGCTCAGAGACCTTTCTCAAAGCTGTGTTGTTATATACTGGAAGTAAACCACATCCCTGAGGCAGGTACTAAGCTTCTCCTTGGAGTTTATTACTAATCTTATCATGGGGAATAACTACATCCGTCTGCCTAGCCACTCAAAACCAGGCTTAACCAAGTAGACGCATAAGCTTAACTACCACAGGATTGTTGTAAAAATTGATATTTTGCTTTAGGATATTTCTTAGATTTTGAACTATAATCAAATCTATTGCCCAAAGCAGATTTGAACTGAAAGGACTTCTTGGGTGGGGCTTCCACATAGACTGTGTCAAAATATTTTAAAGGAGAAGTGGATTGAGTCCTAGACATTGTAAAAGCAATAGGAAATCCTTGAATTGTTACATTAAAAGAATTCTCTCTTTGTTAAATTTACCTTTTAAAGTTCCCATTGCAAAATCTTGATCAACTGTAATGATTCATACAGTTACATGTTAAAGTATTTTTTAGTACTAAAAGTTGAGTGGAAAATTGACTTAGTACATGATGAAAGGAATACTTAAACTTCCTAATATTATGTCTAGTTTTTTATTTGATCCTTTTCAAGTAATCTATTGTGCAGTTTGAGAAAAGTACCAGTGTTCTCACAGTACCTAATAGCTGTTGGGTTACTTTTCAGAAACTCCATGTGGCCCTTGTATGAATGAAACAAATGCAAATTTGTAGCTCAGTTTACAACAAGTTATTGTTGTCAGTTGCAGCCCAGTCTGTTCAGACCCTGTGACTCCATGTGTGCAGCGTAGAACTGCTCCGTGGGATTTTCAAGGCTGTGATCTTTCAGAAGCAGAGTGGGAGGCCTGTCTGTCTTCCCGAGGTGCCTCCAACCAAAACCCAAACCCACTGCTATAAGTTGATTCTGACTCATAGCAACTCTATGGTCAGGGTAGAACTGCCCCATAGGGTTTCCAAGGCTATAAATCTTTACTGAAGCAGACTGTCTCATCTTTTTCCTATGGGAAGTGGCTGATGGGTTTGAACCACTGACCTGTTTGGTTAGCAGCCAAGCAGTTTAACCACTACACCACCAGAGCTCCTCAGGGTGCCTCTGGGTGTTCAAACCACCCACATTTCGCCTAGTATCTAGTACTTAACGGTTTGTGCCACCCAGGGAATCCAGTTAAATTACCCTCTTTCCCCCAAAGAAACATGGGAAGAACTAAGGAAGCTAAGAAAATTTTGCTTTTATTATTTTATTTTATTTTTCAAGTGGAAGTGAAGAAATAGAGAGATGGAAACCATTTTATAAGCAACATTTGCCAACCCAGGGACGCACCAACTGTTGGGTGCATATTTTAGTCACAATGAGATGAAATCTTTAATTGCCATTAATTTAACTTTCATATTTGCCTGCAGAAATGATTGTGTTGATAAGATTCTGGGAGGAGAGAAACCTTTTCTTTATTAAGTAATTCCATTTTCAGTTGCCAGTACTAAAGAGATTTTTTTTTTTTTTTTAAAGTTAAAAAAGAGGGGAAGAAAAATCCTACATATTTTATGAGAGAAAGGGAAGAATACTCAAATCATTTCTTCTGTGGTCTTCCTTATTCATTGTTCAGCATTCACATGCATATGAGGCTATTGAAAAGGTTTATAGTATATTTGCAGAAATGGAATCGTATGCTTCCATTTACAGTATTTTTAAAAATTTTATGATACTTTTCATTAAAAAGACCATATGAAACTTTGAAGACTTCAGTATTTTAAGTGCTTTTCAAAAATATTTGCATTTTAACATTTAAAGATTTGAAGATATCATTGGTGGATTTTTTAGGGAGTTACCCACATAAATTGTCTTATCATAATAGCATATCTTAAAGCATATTATTACTAAGGAGCCCTGATGGTGCAGTAGTTAAAGTGCTTGGCTATGAACTGAGAGGTTGGCTGTTTGAACCCACCATTTGCTCTGCAAAAGAAAGATGTGGCAGTCATCATCTGTAAAGATTATAGCCTTGGAAACCCTAGGGGGCAGTTCTACTCTGTCCTCTAGGTTCTCTGTGAGTTGGAATCGATTTGACGGCAGTGGGAAGGAAGAAAGCATATTCCTAGCTCTAAACTATTACTAAGCCCCCTCCTTTGGGGATTCTATTCCAGGGGATTTGTAATGGTACCTCAAATGTATATTCCTAACAAGTTTTCCAGGTGATATTTAAACTTGGGCAAGTGTAGGAAACACTGGAGAGATGAAGTTCCCACTTAGCTGTCATCACAGGGTCTGGAAGGTTAATGACATGGCTGTTCTAACTTTATAAAGTACAGAATATGTTAGAGTGTTGCAGTAGGACAGGGTCACCTGAGACACTGAGTGTGCCTATATCAAGATGTTGATTAGTATTATGTCATGATGCCCTGTCTTTGTTCTCAGGATAGCTTTATAGCCCTATTGGGGTCTACTTCTGAAAAATCAGCCCTTGAAAGTCCTATGCAGCATAATGCGACTCTTAACACACTTGGGGTCACTGTGACTCAGACTGGACTTGATGGCAACTGTCTGGGACTCTGTAGAGCACAAACCTGACTCAAGAACCTTTAATCTGCCATTTCATCTGACCCTGCTCAGACTATAGGGCAGCTGTGCTTTCCAATATTGTGGTTACACCCACATGTAGCTATTTAAATCAACTAAAATGAAAAACTCAGTTCTTTAGTCACAGTAGCTACATTTTAAGAGCTCAATATCCACCTTATTGGGTAGTGCAGCTTTGGAGTGCTTCCATTCTTGCAGGAAGTTCTATTGGACAGTACTGCTGTAGGGTTTTCTTCCATAATTGAGCCTCTTCTTTTATCCTGGGCAATTGCAAGGACTGATTTAAGTGGCAAGATCACATGAGACTTTCTATTATAGAATCTATTGAAACCCATTGCTGTTGAGTCGATTCCAACTCATAGCTACCCTGCAGGACAGAGTAGAACTGCCCCGTAGAGTTTCCAAGGTTTAAAGTCTTTACGGAAACAAACCGCCACATTTTTCTCCCACGGGAGTGGTTGATGGGTTTGAACTGCTGACCTTTCACTTAGCAGCCAAGTGCTTAACCAACTTAACCACTGTACCACCAGGGCTCCTACTACACTCTGAAAAGGTCTTAAACCAGAGGGTTTAGATTTGACAAACTAAATTATGACTTATCAGTAATCTGAGATCAAAGTTTAATAAATTCAATTTACTTGACTTTTGTATTGTAAGTCTGGTTATGTGGACCCTTAGTATTTGAAACATGGATTGAACTGGAAATTTGCTTAACATCATACATGGCTTATAATAAAGAATCACACCACTAAAATCTCTGTGAGACCAAACTTCACATATTTAATTTTTTAAATCATATAAACTATTGCTAAATAAGAATGTGTTCTGATGAAATTTAAATATATAAAAAGTTATCAATTGAGTGCTAATAAATAGGTTACACACATAGATAATTTCATATAGATGGTCCTTTACCTATATTTTGCAGTTTGAGAACTTTGAGGGGAATATGGTTAGCTCCCTCTTCTGGCATATTATGAGAAAAATATTTTTACTTGAAAATAGTTTCATATTTTTTTGGCATGAAAGTTAAAACACAATATTTATGAGTGTCATCTGGTTACTAGATATTTTCCTTTTGTAGCGTTATAGTTGGTATATGTGGAAATAAAGCCTGGAAAGAGAATTTATGAAAGCATCCCCAGTTTTTAAACTACTAAGTGATCAAAGCATATGTATGGAAATTAAGGGTTCAGCAGTGGTTACACAGAGACCTCATTTGAGTCTCATATGGACAGTGATTATTTGCATTGACTTCCATATCTGACACTAGGCCACCCTGATATTTGTAGCCACATACCCTGTGTCTAAATATTTAAAGTTATAAATTATATCAACTAACTGTTCCATAAGATCTGCTCTGTCTTCCTACTTATTCTTTCAGAGTAGTCCAGAGGCCAGATTTGAATTTAGAGTTCTTGGGCACCTCAGAGTTCTGCCCCAGAGCAGAGTGGTAATGGGGAGAACTGGCCCCAGTATTAGCCTTAGCTTCACCCTACAACACAATGGACCTTGCATATCCAAAGTCCATTCCATCAGCAGCCCCTTCCCACCCATCCTAAATCTACCCCTTAGGCTCAGGAAGGATGGACTAGGGGAAGAGGCCAAAAGAAGCCATTTGGACAGGGAATTCCAGGATTCTAGATGGGAGCTCTGGTAGTATAGTGGCTAAGACACTTGCCTGCTAACCAGACGGCTGGCGGTTCAAACCCACCAGCCACTCCTCGGAAGGAAGGTTGGGCAATCCTACTTCTGTAGTGATACTGCCTCGGAAACCCAAGGAGGGGTCGCTATGAGTCAGGGCCGACTCGACGGCACATAACAACAACAACACAACAAGATAAGTACTCAGGGAACCTAGTGGTACAGTGATTAAAGCAGTCGACTGCTAACTGAAAGGTCGGTGATTTTGAAAGGTCCGTGGTTTGAACCCATCTGCTGCTCCCCAGGAGAAAGATGTGTCTGGCTGCTTCCAGACAGATTTACAGCCTTGGAAACTCTGTGGGGAAATTCTCCTCTGTCCTTAGGGTCACAATGAGTCAGAATCTACTGATGACAGTGGGTTTGTTTTTTTTAGGTAAGTACTCCGAGTGTGTCCAGTGAGAGAGGAAGCAGGCATGTCCCCTTATCCCCAAAATCTCATCACACTGCAGGGAGAGGCAGAGTGGAACCTTTTATAGTGCAGGACCCAGGGTAGGGGTCTGAGTTTGCGACTGTCATAGAGAATGAAATCATTCTGTATTTAGAGTTTCTTCATTGTTACCTAATGCATTTGATTATCCCAAATTAAATATATGGGATTTTCTTTGTTTGCAGCTTTGACTCTTCCGGATCTTACAGAGCAGTTTGCCCCTCCTGACATTGCTCCCCCTCTTCTTGTCAAGCTCGTGGAAGCCATTGAAAAGAAAGGTAATCAAACTAGTAGAGGGAATTCGTTATCTCTCTGTAGTCTTCTTTCAGGGGTATTATAATTTATATTTGTCTTTTGGACATTCATTCAATAAATTTCTTACTGCCTGCTATGGGTAGATACTCTATTAGACACAGATTTGTTTGGGGCTGTGTACAGGGGAAAGAATCTTGGTCTGTTATTTCTAACTCTACATTGACATGTTTGGAAATGATATTAAATATTCCATAATTTAATAAATATAACTAACTTGCTTCTTAATGCTCAGATGATTTGACCAAGATTATTAACATGCCAGGGAAGATTAATAGTAGGAATTGATTTCCAAGAATATTTGGTACACACCTAGAATAGATCCTGGATGGAAACTGGAATGTCTTTCTGGCAGCGGGTTCACGGGTTCTCCAGAGAGCTGTGTTTTGCATACACAGTCTGTTTTGTATCCTAGGTCTGGAATGTTCAACTCTATACAGAACACAGAGCTCTAGCAGCCCAGCAGAATTACGACAGCTACTTGATTGTGGTAAGTGTGACAGCACTGGAAGGACAAATGACAAAGGCCATTCTTTCCTTTCTGTTTCAGGTAATGCACACACAAAAAGGTTGAATTAATCCGTGCAGCGTTCCAGCATTTCAGCCCACACCAGTTCCCTGGGCCCTGTTAATGGTGCTCATGCAAACCAATGCAAACCTTTGATACTTATCTCCTGAGCTGAGGTGTAAATGTGTGCATACCTGCCTGCAGCTGCACTGACACTCATCATAGCCTTGAGCCCCTGGGTCCTGCACAAATCACAGAAGAAGCAACCTTTTGGGATTTGTTTATTCTGCATATCTGTATCTTTCCTCCAGCTCTGTAGTTTGCGCCATTGAGTTAATCTGGATCAGTTAAAAACTATTTATAATTTTACATTTAACAGATGTCTCTTCTTACCTATTCTTTCTTTCTTTTCCATTTCCACCTCCATCCTTACCCTTTCTCCCTCTTATTCTTCTTTCTTTTTCTTTTTCATGCCGTGCTAACATTAAATGATATCATGATATTTTATATTCAGTGATGTGTTGGTAAAAACAACTCTTTGGGACACTTTGGAAAAAGCCCTGGTTTATAGTGTTTTTGTGGTCCCTGAGTGCGGCAGTGAGTACAGTTCCCAACTACTAACCGATAGGTTGGTGGTTCGAAGCCACCCAGAGACACCTCAGAAGAAAAGCCTGCTGATCTGCTTCTGAAAATCCATGACCTTGAAAACCCTGTGGAGCCCAGTTCTGCTTTGTCACGGGATCATCATGAGTCAGAACTGATTCAACAGCAACTGGTGGGGTTTTGGGGTTTTGTTTTGAACCAAAAAGTGAAACCCAGTTAGAAGCAGCCCCTTCAGAAGTGTAAAATTATGCTAAGAGTGTCCAAATATATTTATTAAATAAGCATTTAAAACATGTATATAGATTTTAAAAGTAGCTTATGAAAATTTCTAGGAAAGTGTTTCTGGGAGGAAAGGAGATTAGATCTTTATAAGTAAATAATTTCACTTGGAGTGCACAGAGCAAATGTCTGAAACTGTAAAACTGTAAAGAACTCTTTATTTTTTCTTTATGCATGGAACTCAGTTTTGCTTTTGTATCTCCCATCCTGCCCACAGAGTCAGTAACTAGAAGCTGACTGATAGAAAGTTAAGGTGAAAAGATTTGCTTTTCTGTATTTCTGAACTGCTTGACAGGGGTGTTATGGAAATACTGAATTTTGTCTTTAACCAACTGAGAGAGAGAGAGAGACATATTTTGGTCAAAAATTTGGTCACATTGAACATGTTAAAAGACACAGGAAATGTTTAGACATCAGAAACCAATGAAATGGAAGTTATTTGAGAAATAGTGGTTAAGATTTTAATGTGCCCAAATACAAAGTGATACGGTTTAGCTTGAAAGAAAAAAAAAAAGAAAAATCTTCACACCACCAGTGAAATGAGGTAAAGAACCCATAGTCACGTCAACAATATACGTGTTTTGATGGTCAGCTTTTTTTCCCCACTGAGATCAAAGCACACATGAAGAAAATTGTTTTCATTTGGATTCTATGCTATAAAAACGAGTTAATTGGCAAATATATGTGTGTGTGTGTGTGTGTGTGTGTATACACATACGTGCATATATGTGCATATATATGTAAATAAACTTTGTCATTGTCCACACTTGGGAGTAAACCCACTGGTACTATTTCTAGCTCAAGGATTTTTTCACTGAAGAAGAACATGTCAGATCCTTCAGAAAGCTTAGGGACAAGTCACTTCACTTAAGTCTGAAGAAAATACGGCTTTTAGCCAAGCAGGTCTGAAAAGGACAGAGGTGGGAGGAAACAGCCCATATTTATTATATACCTACTGAGTTACTTTATTCTCATGTTAACTTTGTGATGCAAGTATTTGTTACTTGAATTCACCAGTAAAGGAAGCTGACCTCAGATAAGTAATTTCTTTTAACATTTTCCAGCTGCTAAGTGGCAAAGAGGAGCCCTAGTGGCACAGTGGTTAAAGCACTCGACCGCTAGCCAAAAGGTTGATGGTTTGAACCCACTAGCTGCTCTGTGGGAGAAAAATGAGACAAGCTGTTTCATTACAGATTTACTGCTTTGGAAACCCTATGGGGCAGTTCTACTCTGTCCTATAGAGTTGCTATGAGTCAGAATCAACAGTGGCTTTAGTTTTGGTTTGAAGTGGCAGAGCTATGACTTGTGTCCAAACTGGCCTGTATCCAGAAGCCCTTGTTCTTTTTTTCCCCAATATTACCCTAAAATGAAATGTTTCTTTCTTCTTTTGAGTGTAAATGGTATGGCTTTTCTCCAGATACTTTATTATTATTTCTCTTAACTTATTAGGCTTTCTCAACCCTGGCCCTGCTGACATTTTAGGCTGAATAATTCTTTGTTGGAGTTGGGTAGGGGGACTGGCTGTCTTGTGCATTGTACAATGTTTAGCTGCATCCCTGGCCTCTACCTCTCCCCCAGTTGTGGCCATTAAAAATGTCTCCACGTGTCCCCAGGGAGGGGAGGAGGTCGAGAATCACTGACCTGGAGATCAGTCAGGGAGGGGTTTTTGTTACAGGAGAAACAGGAGTGCAGGCTGGGGAGTTAATTGGTTTCACTGAACAGACTCAGTGAAAAGCCGAGTGGAAGGAACTCCCCTCAAACCAGGTCTAGAGATTATGCAGCTCTTACCTGGCTGACTTCAAAAGTGATCACATGCCAGGTGTGTATAACTTTGGGAAGAGCATGTTAGGGTAGATTTGATACAGAAAAGGAGACTTATAGGGCAGAAGTAAGAAAGCCCAAGGAGCTTTATAAGTTACATTAAAAAATAGAGGAACAACATACCATTATTTTCTTTGAACGCTATAAAGGCTGCTGGGAAATGTGCCTCAAGTGTTAGAGAGGGCCTCAGTGAATTAACATCACTCTGGGCGTTTTATAGTTCATGCCACAAACATTAAAGAAGCAGATTTTATGTTCAGTACAGTGAGGGTTACAGGAAGAACAGGGGTGAGCCCCGGGCCCTGCCCCTGGGTAGTCTTAGTCTAGTCAGGGAGACAGATGTACCTAACTCCTGCATTGCTGGGAAGTGTCCTGGTAGAGTTGTCCCTCAGTAGTCCAAAAGTGGAGAGAAGGTGGTGGATACTGCCTGAGGGAGAAATGTGTGGAATTTTTAGTGTCTTCATGTTTATAAACCAGGAATCCCTGGGTGGTACAAACTGTTAAGTGCTTGGCTATTAACCAAAAGATTGGTGGTTCAAATCTACCCAGAGGTACCTTGGAAGAAAGGTCTGGAGATCCATTTCCAAAAGGTTGCAGCTGTTGAAAATGCTAAGGAGCACAGTTCTACTCGGAAACACATGCAATCGCCATGAGTCAGAATTGACTTGATGGAAAATGGTTTAGTTTTTTTGTTTCGTTTATTAATTATGTAATGTTAATTTTCTGGACATACAGATGTATTAAAGGATGTACACAACGGACCAGAAACTTGTCAAATAGTTGGTAGATGTAGAGTGTTCCTCTAATTCACACACAATTTTATTTGACAGTGAGTAATACTAGTAGTTTAATTATTTTCAAGGTGGATTCATTGTTCAAAGACCTAGAATTGCCCTTCCCATACTTGTTACAAATATGATAGGCCTCTGGTTTAGTGATTTAACCCTTTGCCTCTTTACCTTTAACAATTCTTTTCCTCAAAATGACATATCCACATTTTATACCAAACTGAATTTTCTTAGAGCTTTGTGGAATTGTGTAAGTAATTATCTTTCATAAGATCTGCCTGTTGTTGGTGGCGTTATTTGCCCTCGAGTTGGACCCGACTCGTAGTGATCCCTCCTTGGGTTTCCGAGGCAGTATCTCTACGGAAGTAGATTGCCCAACCTTCCTTCCGAGGAGTGGCTGGTGGATTTGGACCACCAACCTTCTGGTTAGCAATCACGTGCCTTAGGCACTATGCTACCAGAGCTCCCAAGATCTGCCTAGTGAGTGAGATAAGTTTGGTTTGTGATAGTGATATGTCTAGGGAATATTTGTAGCCTCTATCTCAGCCTCGAGTGGTTTATAATATCACATTCGGCTCACAGGTATCCAGGATACCACCTTCTTCTATGTACTTATACTCAAACGTCTTGGAGTAAACTTTGATTCTTCCTCATTCTCACCTAGACATTCAGCCAATCCAATCAACCATCAAGTTATGTTAGTTCTTGTTAATGCTTTGCACTCTCTTACTTCGTTAGAGTCCAAACCCTGTCACTTGGCTTCAGATAACCAAAACTGGTGCCTCTACTTCCAGCATCACTCCTACCTCCTACCTGAGTTATCCAGTGCTGCTGTAACCACAACTGGGTGGCTCTAACAAACAAATTTATATTCTCACAGTTTAGGAGCCTAGCAGTCTGAATTCCACCTGCCAGCTTTAGGGGAAGGCTTTTACTCTTTTAGCTCTAGGGGAAGGCTCTTATCTCTTTTCAGCTTTTATCCTTTGGCTATCATAGGTCACTCTGGTAGTATAGTGATTAGTCAGCTGCTAACCAGTAGGTTGATAGTTTGAACCTAATAGGTGCACCAAGAGAGAAAGATAAGACAGTCTACATCTATAAAGATTTACAGCCTTGGAAACCCTGTGGGGCAGTTCTCTGTCCTGTAGGGTTGCTGTGAGTCAGAATCAACTTGATGGCTGTGGCCTTTTTTTTTTTTAAATTCCTTGGTAATCATGGTTGCCTTCCCCAACTGTGCTTGCTTGTTCACTCAATCTGCTCTTTTTATTTCTCTTGATTAAGATACACCCTGTAGTCAGTCATACTGCCTCATTCACATAATAACGAAGTTCCATTCCCAGATGAGATTATAACCACAGGTTAGGATCTACAACATATTTTGTGGGAACACAATTCAGTCCATAGCAGCTCCTTTCCAACTTTTACACCACAAGTAATGAAGCTGTATAAAATGTGCTATTTGGTCCATCAGCCTGCCTTTTCTCGATTTCGTACATTTCAGCCCCCTGATCATTTTCCTCAGGTCATCTTTCTCATTACGAGTGTGTACTCTTCTGCAGTAGCGTGTGCTCTCCTGGTGTCTTAGATGCCCACAGTCATTTGTGCCTCCAGAACTTTGCTCCCAGCACCCCTTCTTACTGCCTGGCACTGTGCCTTTTTCTGTCCCGAGTACTCAGAAGGCCTTACTGCTGAGGAGTGCTCAGGGAGTGTTTTTGTTTAGCATCACCTGTTACTGAATTGCTTGACCTTTTTTTTCAGGTGAGAAATTCACTAGGCAGGCTGCTTGTATCTTTCTTGTGAGAAAGTTCAATTAGTAACGACCCAGTCAGAATGGTGGGGGGAAGGTTCTGAAAATGTTAAAATTATTTTTATGGATACTTATTCTTGAGACTGATTGCTAAAATTCTGTAGTTTGTCGTTGTTGTTATGTGCTGTCCAGTTGGACCTGACTCATAGCGACCCCTCCTTGGGTTTCTGAGGCGGTATCGCTACAGAAGTAGATTGCCCAACCTTCCTTCTTAGGAGTGGCTGGTGGGTTTGAACCACCAGCCTTCTGGGTAGCAGTCAAGTGCCTTAGGCACTATGCTGCTAAAATTCTATAAAAGCTTAATGCTTAATTAGTCATTCTGCTGGTTTAAATTTGCATTATTTTGAGAGGCAATAGTTACCAACTTAAGTTTTCATTTGTCAAGGAATTGCATTTGTTGTTTTCCTGTTAGCATTTTAGGAAACATTGACTCTTATTATCATGGATTAAATTGTGTCTCCCAAAAAAATATTTGTCAATTTGGTTGGGCCATGATTCTCAGTGGTTTGGCAGTTATGTAATGATGTAATCATCCCCCATAATGTGATCTGATGTGAACAGCCAATCAGTGGTAAGGAAATTAGGGTAGGGTTCAGCACCCTTATTCAGGTCAGAGTCCTGATCAGATGTAAGGGGAGTGTCTCAGGGGTGTGGCCTGCATCACCTTTTATCTTATAAGACATAAAGAGAGAAGGGAACAGAGAAGGAAAGACTTGATGACCACCAGGAAAGAAGAGCCGGTAGCACATCCTTTTGCACCCAGGGTCCCTGCACTGAGAACGCCCTAGACCCAGGGGAATATTGATGTTGAGACACATGGCGATCTCTAAGGAATGCCAGGCCACAAATAATGAAAGGAGGCAAAGAGCTCTCCCCAGAGCTGAGAGAGAGAGAAAAAACCTTCCCCTGCAGCTGGTGCTCTGAATTTGGACTTCTGCCCTCCTCAACTGTGAGGGAATACACTTCTATTTATTAAAGCCATCCACTTGTGGTATTTCTGTTATAGCAGCACTAGGGAAGTAAGATACTTATTATCCCACCCCTTAATAGAAGCTTTCTCAGACAGGGCAGAACCACCTCCAGACATGGTTGGAAGTGGTTGTGGGGTACTCCTTATTACCCCAGAGTCTGTTTGTCCTCCTATTACTTCCTTTCCTGTATCACTTTCATATAAAACATTTAGGAAATAAGATGACCCCAATAAATGTCTGAAGTTATTTATTTATTTTTTTCCCTTTCATAGATGCTGCTTCTGTGGACTTGGAAATGATTGATGTGCACGTCTTAGCAGATGCTTTCAAACGCTATCTTCTGGACTTACCAAATCCGGTCATTCCTGTAGCTGTTTACAATGAGATGATTTCTTTAGCCCAAGGTTTGTTTTCTCTTCTGAAAGCCTCAGTGAACATAAATTTAGATGTGGATGTGCTTGTAGACTTCCTAAATGCTGCATAAGATAGATTATTTAGAAAGTAGTTGTAGTAATCTGCCCCTCCTCCTCCCACTGTCACCCCAAATTCCCCCCATTACAGGGCGAGAAGACCCAGATTCTCTCGTTTGCTTAGGAAAACTGCATGTTGAAATGGCTAATTGTTAACCTTTTATCAGTACTAGCAAAGTTCACTACATCAGTGAAGGACATGTTTTTCCAAGAGCCCATGTCAGATTCAGGAACCAGGACTAGTACCTAGTGACTGAGAGTTTTCTAGTTTTCTTCCTTAAGTGGCCTTTACAAATGTGATAAGGGGAGAGGACTCTCAGTTACAGACACTATTGCTCAGTGAAGCACTTTGGGGACAGGAAATTGTGGTTCGTAACCTTCAAAGTTAAAACCTGTGCCACTTATCTGATGCTCCTCTGAACTAACCAATCACACTTGAAGGACAGATTTCTGCCAGCACACACTGAACGTCAGTGGTTTCTTATACCAAGAGTTTTCTGCATTTCCATTTTACTTGATATTTTTTACTTTCTCACAATACTTTCTGTAATGAGAAGAACAAACGGACTGTCTGCTTCTCCTGACAACTTCATTTAAATGCCTCCTTCCATAGCTAGGCCAGAGAACAGAAATGTTCCAGGTGTTTATTCACTGATACCTAGAAACAGTCTTTTATTATTATTATTTTTTATTTATCTTTTTAACTTGTAGAAGTGCAGAGCTCAGAGGAATATATCCAGCTGTTGAAGAAGCTCATTAGGTCGCCTAATATACCTCATCAGTATTGGCTTACACTTCAGTATTTGCTAAAACATTTCTTCAAGCTCTCTCAAACTGCCTGCAAAAATCTCTTGAATGCAAGAGTACTCTCTGAAATTTTCAGCCCTATGCTTTTCAGATTCCCAGCAGCCAGGTAAGTGAAAGAAGATAAACATGTATTTTGGGGGTGATGAAGATAGCCCTAAGATAATTTATAATTAAACTTAGCCTAAAGATACTAGTTCACAGCTGCATGCACATTTTATAGTGTACACCTTCACCTGAATGTGTTTAAAAGAAAATTAATTTGTTTTTAGGGAAATGTTGTTGTTGTTGTTGTTGTTATGTGCCGTCGACTCAGACCTGACTCATAGCGACCCCTCCTTGGGTTCCAGGTTCCTCATAATACTCTCTTTTTCTTGTAGCTCTGATAATACTGAACACCTCATAAAAGTAATAGAAATTTTAATCTCAACTGAATGGAATGAACGACAGCCTGCACCAGGTAATGCTTCTGGAAATTTTACACTCTCATTGCTCATTTTAAAGAGCCTTAAACAATGGTGGCTTTAGACCTCCTTTTAAGTAGGGTAAGATTCTCGTCGAATTGAGATCTGTGATTTTTTGGGGAAAAAAACCCAGCTGAGTGGTGGTGTATATGGTAAATATTACTCAGATGTTAACATTTATGGTTTTTAAATTATCTTGGTTTTAGATGAGGAATGGAGAAGGTTCCCTACATTCTCAACTTTTATGCTTGTAGTTGTTGAATAAATTTATGGAGTTCATTTTAGTTGTTGACATTTTTTGTTTTTCTTTCTAATGCTTATAAAGTAGGGGATTTATAATTACTATATAATTTAAAGTATTTTGAAATGTTTTTTTTGGAAGCAGGTATTCTGAGAAACGTCTGTCAAAATAAACATTTTCAATAATGCAAGCAGTATGAAACCAGAGTGTTCACTGCAGCAAGTTAGAGCAAGCCAGACACTTCTTTGAAAGCAGGCTGGCATTTAATTAGCCATTTCACAAAGCAGGAAATGGAGACATGTTAGCAGTGGATTTAATTTAAACTGATGTATTTTTCTTCTACTGTGGAAAATCCAAACAACCTTACATTGCTATGTACTGGTTAAAAAGTTAACTAATAGAGGCCAGTTATCTAGAATAGAGGTTAGGGTGAAATGAAGTTTCAGGACCTCTTGAAGGTGTTACTTGTAGTCTTAATGAAAATATAAAACATCATGAATTTATTATTAAAAGTGTTAACTCCCTTACAGGTAATTCATGTAGGTTACCATATTTATCTCTGGATAGTGGGTGTGAGGGGGCTCAGTTATCAGTATCATGCAATAGAGAATTAAATTGTGCTCTTGTAGTTGGTGTTACACAGTCAGGCTTGACTTGTTTATAGCTAGGTGGGGCTAGGCTTAAAACACACCTATAGGGATGGGATGGAGAATGGGCTAGGCAACAGCTCAAGATGGAGGTATTGAGAAGGGTGTCTGTGGACAGGCCTGAAGCACGGTATTTGAAGGTGGTACAGACACCAAGTATGATAGTTAAGGCAGAGGTGGTGTCTGCAGGTTCTAGATCCCAGCAATCAGGATGTTCCAGAAGGGATGCCCAGAGATATAGGCAAATGACACCAGAGAAGTCTATCAATAGGTGTAGTCTAGGACTTTAGTCCAGGGCCTTAGCTGAAATACTTCATCTCACATGACTACTTGGATCATTTGTAAATGGATTTTGGGATCTCTGTTGGGGTTCAGAGATTGCTTTGAGGCTCAGCAGGAAAGAATGCAGTGATAAGGTAGCGATATGCTGTGATGAAGAGTAAGGAATGAAACGTGACATGTGAGTCATTTGTCTGCTGCCCACCTTAGACTAATCACATGAGTGGGAAAGGAAGATCACTATCCAGAACAAAGCAGGACCTTGGGCCAAAGGGCTAAACTAAGATCTTTCATTTCCTTCTGATCAAAACTGAGATATGTCTTAGAAAGTAGAGAAGATGGCCCTGGTTGCAGTGAAGGGTTGGCCTGTAGTGCTTAGTGGCTACCCCTCGGAAGAGGAAAGATACCTGGAAGCTAAAAGCCAGACAGGATTTGACAAACACAAATGGATTTTAAAATTTCTACTACACCAGGTTCAGTGGATCAGTGTTGGAGTTTGATTAGTCTGATTGGTATAAACTGATAGGAACATCTTTCTCAGTTTCATCCTCATTCCAACACAATAAAAATTTTTCTGCAGTCTTTATCATTATGCACCCTTGAAGCTGCTTGCCACACCAAAGGATACTACACTGCTATACTGAGAAACTGGTGTGCCAGTTTCAATGGAGGATTAGTTCCGTCAGCTCTGCTAAAGAATGACAAAGCCTGGAACATTTGCTGAACCATCCCAGTATTCTTGTGCCTTCTTCACAGCAACTTAATCCAAGTAATTTTTAAAGCCTAGTTTGAGCCACTTTCCCCTTTGTATTATGTCTTTTAAAGAGTATTGGTAGTGCAGTGGTTAAAGCATTCAGCTGTTAACCAAATGGTCATAGTTTGGACACGCCAGCTGCTCCACAGAGAAAGATGTGGCAGTCTGTTACAGCCTTGGAAACCATATGAGGCAGTTCTGTTCTGTCCTTCAGAGTCACTGTGAGTTGGAATCCACTCAACGGCAACAGGTTTTGGAGGTTTTGGTTTGGTTATGTCTTTTAGTCATTCTAGGGAGCTCGGTACTGAAACAAGGCGGGCTTGTGCTTACTCACTGATCTGCACTGAACACTTTCCCTTGTTACCCTCCCGAGAGGGACCGGGTCTCCGGGAGCA